CAGTCCCTCAGAAATGGCACTGAGGGTGTAGCACACACAGGTTTGGTTATCCCTTTATTAGCAGTCCCTCAGAAATGGCACAGAGGGTGTAGCACACACAGGTTTGGTTATCCACAGGGCGATAAACTGGTCCCTGTGACTGGTTCAGAAGGGTTTCCCTTGGGGTCACACTGAGCTGTAACTCCTGTGTGGAGAGGGCTCCAGTCTGGCCTTTCAGGGGTGCCATGTAGGACCAGTGGCCCTTGTCCCCCCCAGGACTGGGAGCAGGCCCAGGCAGGTGCTGTCCTGGCCACAGGGCCCCACAGCTTCGACAGCGACCCTGACATCTCGGACGTGGACGAGGACGACCGCGAGACGCTCTTCAGCTCCATGGACGTGCTCTCCCCTGGGGGGCACTCGGATGCCCAGACCTTGGCCATGATGCTCCAGGAGCAGCTGGATGCCATCAATGAGGAGATCAGGTAGTGACCGTGGCTTGTGCCCTGCCTTGTGCTGAAGTGTCTCTGGGGGGGAGTCAACGAGCTGCCAGAAGGTGGGAGGAGTCTCTGATGCCCTAAAATTGAGGTCTTGGTGCATCTTCAGCCAGGGAAATGGCTCCAGAACATCCAGCCACAGGGTTTGGTCCTTCCTGCCCATGGCCCCTTGTCCCTCAGCTGCACCACTGTTCGATCACAGGGTCGTTATTTTAAAAAAAGCCCCCCATGAGCATTAAAAGAACCCACGGTGTGTGTCAGCCCTGGTTTCTGTGGATCCTGGTGGATCTCACTGCCATTCCTGGAGACTGGGGGGGCTCGAGTCACAGCACCAGGGTGCATTTCCCCCAGGGAAGGGATGTCCTGTGGCCAGGAGGGGTGAGCTGACCCCCTGAGCCCCCTCCCACTCCCCCAGGATGATCCAGGAGGAGAAGGAATCCACCGAGCTGCGCGCGGAGGAGCTGGAGACGCGCGTCACGAGCGGCAGCATGGAGGGCCTCAACCTCACCCAGCTCTGCAAGAGGGCCTCCATCCCCACCTCCCTGACCGCCCTGTCCCTGGCCAGCTCGTCCCCCCCCCTGAGCGGCCGCTCCACGCCCAAGCTGAGCTCGCGCAGCGCGGCGCAGGACCTGGACCGCATGGGCATCATGACGCTGGTGAGGGCCCGGGGGGCTCCCAGGGGCTGGGCAGGGGGGGTGTGACTGTCTGGGGTGGGAGCGATGCCCTGGCACCCTCAGGGCTGTGTGTTTGGAGGGGGTGGAGCGAGGGTGCCCGTGGTTGTGTCTCTAGCCTGGCACGCCTGGCCCCGGGCCTGCTCTGCTGGGGGGGTTCTCCATTAACTGCCCCCCTTTCTGTGTCTCTCTCGCTTTCCCCCTTGCAATCAGCCCAGCGACTTGAGGAAGCACCGGAGGAAACTGCTAGTGAGTGGCTCCCATCCCGTTGGTTTTTGTCCAAGCCCTTTTTCCAGCCTGCTCCTGGCTCTGCCCACGCCGGGTCAGGGGGCAACAGGCGCGGGATGGAGCTGGGGGACCCCAGGGATTCGGCAGGAGGATCATGGGGATCCCCAAAGGTGCTTGGACACGTTCCCACCGGCAGCCTGGGGGGTCTGGCAGGATGTGGGGAGGTTCAGAAAGCCACTGGGTCCTCAAACATTGTGTCCCCTCTGGCGTTTGGGACATTCCCATCTGTGCTCCTCAGAGCCCTCTGCTCAGGGCCAGCAGCTTCTGTCTCCACACCCTGACCTGGACCATGGGGCTGCATCCTCTCACCTCCCTATTCTCAGGATCTCGGCCACATGGCCACGTCCTCCCCGTGCTGGAACCATTGCCAGAGCTCTTGGGCCTCTGGAACCATTGCCAGGGCTCTTAATTCAGGCCAATCCCGGAGCGTGGCGAAGCCTCAGGGCTCTGGTGGCTCTTTTGGCCATGCCTCCATGGAGCAAGAGAGAGGCAGGCAGCAGGGCAAGGATGGAGCTGGGCTCTGGCTGCCCCCCCTCACGGCCTCTCCGCTTGTTCAGTCGCCCGCAGCTCGGGACGAGAGCCGGGAGGACAAAACCACCATCAAGTGCGAGACGTCCCCGCCTTCCTCGCCCAGGGCGTTGAGGCTGGAGAAGCTGGGCCACCCTGCTCTGAGCCAGGAGGACGGGAAGGGGTAAGTGGAGCACCCCTGGGAGGTCACCCCGGCGCCTGCTCCCTCAGTCTGGGGACAGACACGGGGCACGGGTGGGATTGTGAGCTGGGCTGGGTTTTGTGCCCTGCTTGGGACTAACCTCCAGGCTTTGCTGTTCCTCTCCCTCCTCTGTCCCCAGCTCGCTGGAGGATCAGGCCAGCAACCCCAGCAGCAGCCAGGACTCCCTGCACAAGGGCTCCAAGAGGAAGGGGATCAAATCCTCCATTGGGCGCTTGTTTGGGAAAAAGGAGAAGGGTCGCTTGATCCAGCTGAGCAGAGAAGGGGCCACAGGGCAGGGTCTGTGACAGCCCCATCCCTGCATGCGGTGCCAGGCCCTGCACCCTCCCAGCCTGCCTGGCCTTGGGGTGCTCCTGGGGGACAGGTGGAGGGGCAGAGACACCCGTGCTGCTTTGGGAATGTTGGGGGGTTGGGACCTGGTGCCTTCTCCCCGTGGCCGGAGCATTGGTGTCACTTCTGGTGCTCTGCCAGAGCTGGGGGTGGGTGGTGACCCCCCATCCCTGAATCTGTGATGTCCCCAAACCTGCTCCCCTCCCTGTGGGACCTCGTGGGGTTGGCAGAGCCCTTTGATAGGAGCTGTTTTTCCACTCCCAAATCCTTCCCTGCTCCCACGCTGAGCATTTTGAAACAGGAGGGGTGGCAGCTGGGAATTCCCTCGGGCTTCCCAGGGAGGCAGGAGAGCCTCGTGGTGGGTTGGACGTGGAGACTGTCCCTCCTGTGCTGTGACTGTGGGGACAGTGGCAGTGCCCACACTGGCCCTGGGGGATGTCACACTGACCCTGGGATGTCACACTGACCTGGGGGTGTCTTCCTTCACCCCACAGTGGTGCTGACTGATGCGGAGGGGAGCATCCAGGACCCCCTGGGCCTGGGCAAGCTGGGAGCTCAGGCCGAGAAGGATCGGCGCCTGCGGAAGAAGTGAGTGAACTTCCTTCCCTACTCTGGCAGGAAAAGGATGGCTGGGAAGCCATGGTGTGGATCTGGGAGTTGCTGGGAAGTCCTCTCATCTTCGCCCTCCCTCGAGTCCTGTTACCTCCTTCTGCCTCCAGCTGGTTCTCGCTGCCCATGGTCTGTTCCCTTTCAGGAGCTGCTCCCTTCCCCCCAAAACCTCCAGTAAATCACTCCTCTGCTTCTTTTCCTCCCAGGCATGAGCTCCTGGAAGAGGCCCGGAGGAAAGGGTTGCCCTTTGCTCACTGGGATGGCCCCACTGTCGTGTCCTGGCTGGAGGTGAGGCAGAGCCTGTCATTGTCCCCACGCTGTCACCACCAGGCTGGGATCGCTCCCCCAGCACTCCCAGTCCCACCAGGCTTGGTCCAGGCACTGGTGGCTGCAAATCCTGGGGGAGCAGAGGAGATCCCCCAGATCCCTCACAGGGTCTGCAGAGCTGTGGTTTGAGGAGAACTTTGGGTTAGAGCCCAGGTCTGGTGAGGAGCAGCTGAGGGAGCTGGGAAGGGTCTGGAGCAGCAGGAGAACTCAGGGAGCTGAGGGGGCTCAGCCTGGAGAAAAGGAGGCTCAGGGGGGACCTTCTGGCTCTGCAACTCCCTGACAGGAGGGGGGAGCCGGGGGAGGTCAGGCTCTGC